TTTTTTTTTTTTTTTTTTTCAGACAGATTTTCACTCTTGTCTTCCAGGCTCCCAGGCTGGAGTGTAGTGGTGCAGTTGGCTCACTGCAACCTCTGTCTCCCAGGTTCAAGTGAGCCTCCCAAGTAGCTGGGATTACAAGTGTGTGCCACCACATCCAGCTAATTTTTGTGTTTTTAGTAGAGACAAGGTTTCACCTTGTTGGCCAAGCTGGTCTTGAACTCCTGACCTCACGTGATTCGCCTGCCTTAGCTTCCCAAAGTGCTGGGATTATAGGCCTGAGCCACTGCACCTGGCCAGAGTTGTTTTAGGCATGTCTGGTAACCCTGGATTTCAGAGGTGCAGCTGTCTCAGTTCTTCTGCTTTTTCCCTAGCTGTAGTTGTGGACTCATTGTGTAATTATGCCCCTTTTGCAGGAGCAGGTCTTTCCTCACCCTCTCTTCCCTGTCCCCAGTCACAGTAAGTGTTTACCAAAGCCTCCCCCCCCACCCCCCGCCAGCACACACACAAATTAGGACTTTTGTTTCTGAGTGGAGATTTAGGGAAAGGATTTGGGTAGAATTTCTTGCCCCTCCTTCCTGTCTCCTGGTCCCCTCCCTGGGTTCTGCGCTACTATCTGTGATTCTTAGGGCTCTTTCACATCTTTTCAGTGACTGCCTAGTGGGTGCCACGGAGAAAGAGCCTGCAGAGTAGTTCAGGGTCCCCCAGTTTCTGCAGCTGCCAGAAATTGTCCTGACAGCCTGTACTCAGCCTTTGGCAATTTGTGTTTTTTTCTTGCTGAACTCTTCTTACCGGTGTCTGATTGTGTCTACTCCAGGTGAGCCTGTGTGTTTTCTTTCCCTGCAGGCACTGAGATTATGGGCCACTTTTTGTTCTGCAACCTCAGCTCTCCAGCAGGTTCAAAAATAGTCATGGAATTGAAGTTAGTCTTGCTGTTTTGCACTGTAAGGGTGAGCATCATGCTGTCCCAGTTCTCTTCATCCTAGGGCAGAAGCCAGAAGCAGACGTATCTTGAGGAACGGAAGTTTTTTGGTTTGATTTAGTTCAGTTTACCAGTTTTTTTAATGATTAGTGCTTTTGGGATCTCAAGAGAGCTTTGTCTACTCCAAGGTTGGGAACATTTTCTGCTTTGTTTTCTTCTAGAGGTTTTATAATTTTAACTGTTACATATAGGTCTGTGATCTATTTCAAGTTAATTTTGGGTCTGGTGTGAGGTGAAGTTGGAGGTGTCCTCTCCTCCATATACATGTCCAGTTGGGTATCATTTATTGAGAGATCTCTCCCTATGGAATCACCTTGTTCCTTTGTCCAAAACTTCTT